CTGCTAGGTGAGGTTTGTAATAGTTTTATATTATCCAAAAAGCTTGTAGTTGAATGATAATAATATTTTATACGAAGTCATACATTTAAGTTCTAATAAATTAGTTATGCTAGGAGTTTTGAATTTGTGAGTTGTATATAATAGTTTTATATTGCTTTTTAATAAAACTTATGCATATTTATTATTATCTTATATGTAATTTTTAATTTAATAAAAGACAATAAAGATTGTGAGATTCAAATTTGTAGTTGTTTAGTTATCAAATATTTGATATCATGTCAAAAAATCATATCAATTCAAAAATTTTAATTATCAAGTAATGTTCTAAAATTGCTTCATATTACTTTCTAAAAGTATTTTGATAATCTTTTCAAAGTTAGACAAAAATATACTTTTAAGTTATGCGTGCTACTAATTTAATAAAAAAGATCTTAATAGAATCACTATAGAGTCATAATAAAAGTTGAAGAATCTAATAAAAATAAATTATGGAATAAATAAAGGTTTAAATGTATAAGATGTATTTTAGCAAGTAAAATAATTAAAGCTAAATGGGTAATTTCCTATTTAAGAGTGTATTTTAGGAAGTATTTAAAAAATTGGACTTAATTGAAAAAAGAATTCAGAACATGAATTTATTGGTCAATGAAATTTAATAGAACTCACTGGTCTTTTAACTCCTGAACTTGAATTTATTGGTATTTTTTTTCATTTTTTTCTACCACTGCTTTTAAAATTTTATCAATTAATAAAACTTTTTTAACTAATTCGTAACAATTAAGAGAAATATTCATCACCTTCTTCTGTATTTAATTTTTTTTTTACCTATTCTTGTTTTTCATATATAATATTCATCACACTCCTTAGTTTTTTTTTTTAATTTTTTTCTTTAAACACGATAATAGTTATAATAATTTAAAAATCATAAATAAAATGTCATTTTCATGATCTAGGCACACAAAAAAACACATACGGAACCGGCTTTGGACCCACGAGGCAGGCGCTTAGATAATCTGGGGGCTTTTTCTAGCATCTTTAAACAATTTGATATTGAGGCACACTTTTATAAGAATGACAATAGCAGCTATAACACCCATATCTTCTTTATCTAATTTAATAAATACTAATTAAAATTTTTTAATGAGCATCAAGAAAAATAAGAATCAAATACATATTCACTAATATATATAATGGATATGGTACTCACTTTATACCTTATTAACACTTATTATATTTTTAAATAAAATTTAATATGCAAAGATTTAATTGCACAAACTTTAAAATAGACTAAAATGTTTTTATGACAAATTTGAGTATAAAGAAAAAAAAACACTTATAAATAAAGTTCAAAATTGAAAAAATAAATATTTTTAAGGACCAAAATATTTTTTTCAAAAATTACAAGGACTGAAATAAACTTTTTGATTTATTTGTTTTTTGAACGGCAAACAAGATATGGATGGAATGTGAGTTTAAAGGGTAATTCCTTAATGGATATGGATAAAATATATTTTTAATGACTAGGGTAAGGAATTCACTTAATACATTGGGTGTCATTCTTAATCTTTTACCACCTTTTTTTTTTAAAAAAAGAAAATAATAATTTCATTGATTTTGAATATAGCATAAATAAATCACTATTTGCATACATTTAAATAAATTACTTACTATTTGAAAATATAATCAACAATACCGACAATGTAAAATGGTCTTTAAAGCAACAACTTGTGTTTTTAATAATTTAGATGAAAAAAAAATCCTCTCAGATTCTCATATCTCGTTTGTCTATGTAGGAACTGATTGCGTCTCACAAACCAATATGAGTTTGCGGCACCATAAATCAAGGGAAGAATGGATCACGTCATCAAACTATTTTGATATAACATTCAAAATCACTTATTAGTATTAATATTTTCTATCCAATTAGAAACAATAACCTGATTTTTATTAAAAAAAAATCGGCCAACAAAATAGCCTATATGCAATCACATAAATTAAAACACAAGATCTAGATTTAGATAAAATAAAAATAAAATAATTTAAATTTATGAAAATGAAGAAAGAGAGAGCGAGGTTGCCGCTGGTGAAACCACCCACAATAGCCATGAATAGTACTTTAGAAAACTAAGTTTTTTGTAGCTTAAAAAAAAAAGAAGAAGAAGAAAGAAGGGAAGGACTCGCCCTACGTTTGGGGTTAGTAGTAGCATTTTATGGGCATTTATGATTTTTGAAATTCTTATATTTATTATTGTTTTTTTAAAGAATAAAACTGGTTGAGAAATAGTATCAAATCAAAAAAGAACGGATGAAAATTTGACGAACAATAACCTCTAACAATAACTTATTGCGCAAATAGTGCTATTTAACGGTCATTTAACAAATTGGTTAAAAAAAAGTTCTCTGCTTATCATATTCGGGAGTATTGTTAAATAGAAAAGGCAAAAGCAGAGACTCAAATTGAAAAAGAAAAACACGGAAAACAGAGGCCCTAAAGTATAGTTCTAAACTAGTTTTTTTTTATCTTAGTTACTGCTGCGAATTAGATAAAATATATCTAATTAATTAAAGAAATCATTTCAGTTTGATAGTCCGTTTTATAATGTGAATCTATAAAAATACATGAAATCAAAGATGAAATAAATTATGTATAATTTTTTAATAAAAAATTTTATATTTAACTATTTATTATTTGTGTTTTTCATAATTTTTTCTTTAGAAAAAGGATTTATCCTCGTTAATTCAAGGATTATTAACTAAAAAGAAAATTAAACCATTTTTTTAAAAAAAAAGTTTTAGTATTTCATAAGATTATGTCAAAAAACATAAATAAAAATTATTAAAATCTTATATAGAATTGAACAAATAGTTTTTTTTTATATAACGTTGATGAGAATATCGGTTTTTGAAAAAATATGAATTTAATTTTTATATATTTATTTACAAAAGAATGAATAATATTAAAATAAAAACTATATTAATTTGACTTTCAACTATTAATTAATTAATTTGAGTTTTGTTTCTAAAAAAAGCTGAGAAAAATGATTTGAAATGCACTTATAATCTAAAAATGTATTGTAGAAAAATTATATATATTAATCATGCCACTATAATTTAAAAGTTATCTAAATCTATTTTTTCAAAAGAAAAAATAATCATGTTTTAAAAATTTATTTCAAAATCCATACATGTAGAAAAATAAATCAAAATTATCAATAAATATAATTTTAAATTAATTGGATAAGAATATTTTTAAAAAATAACTAATTAAAGGAGTAAGTTTTAAATAATAAAAATAATTAACAAAAAACGCTAAAGCAAAATGTGACCAAATCACAATATAATCAAAGTTTGAAATTGAAAAAAAAGAAGAGAATTTAACAAAAAAATGACAAATTAATGTAGTAAATTTTAAATAACATAAAAAAAAAACCGAGAAAACATTATTTGAAAACACTTTTAATCTACAAAAGTATTTCAGATAAATTATAATATTAATCATGCCATTGTAATTTAAAAATTATCTAAATCTATTTTTCAAAAAAAAATAATAATCATGTTCTAAAAATTTATTCCAAAATCTATACATATAGAAAAATAAATCAAAATCGTCAATAAATATAATTTTAAATTAATTAAATGACAATTTAAAAAAAATGATAAATTAAAGTAGTAAATTTTAAATAATAAAAATAATTAACAAAAAAAACTAAAACAAAATAGAACCAAATCACAATATAATCAAAGCTTGAAATTGAAAAGAGAGAGAGAGAGAAAATTTTAAAAAAATGACAAATTAATGTAGTAAATTTAAAATAACATTAAAAAAACCAAGAAAAAATTATTTGAAATACACTTTTAGTTTAAAAATGTATTTCGGGCAAATTATATATATTGATCATACCATTATAATTTAAAAATTATCTAAATTTATTTTTCAAAAGAAAAAATAATCATATTCTAAAAATTTATTCCAAAATCTATATATATAGAAAAAATAAATCAAAACTGTTAGAAAATATAATTTTAAATTAATTGGATAAGAATTTTTTTAAAAAATGACAAATTAAAGTAGTAAATTTTAAATAATAAAAATAATTAACAAAAAACATTAAAACAAAATGGGACCAAATCACAATATAATTAAAGTTTAAGATTGAAAAAAGAAAGATAATTTTTTTAAAAATGACAAATTAAAGTAGTAAATTTTAAATAATAAAAATAATTAACAAAAAATACTAAAACAAAATAGGACCAAATCATAATACAATTAAAGTTTGAAATTGAAAAAAAAATGTAGAAAAATTGAGGACCAAAGTGTTATAAAAATATCATAAATAGTGAAATGAATAGTGATTTGTGAGTATGTGAATAGTATTTCAAATAATGAATAAATAGTAACACTATATTTTATTTTGGTTTTATTGATAATAAAATTACAGCTTAAGCATAATATGTTGCCAGTGATGTGACAGTTTAAGCACCATCAAATTAGTTCCCAGGGAATACTTGTTCTGTTTTGGTGTATATCTATGTATTTATTTGGATAACTACATTTTCTTAAGCAAGCTCGGAATGCAGAATTTAATTCAATGTTTCTTGACCAATTCAAATATATATATATATATGAGAGTTTCAGAACGGTAGAACTGAAATCTATTCACTTCACCGGCAAATAAAACAAAGAACTATCCACTTTTGTGATAAAGAGACAATTTTTTTATACAAATGAAGAAACACATCCAATAAAAGAATACACATGCACTTCTCTCTTAAATCCAGTTCCTATGACTTAATTGGATTTCCAGAAATTTTTCCTTAGTTCACCAATTGATCCAGTAACAGGGTTCCTGAGGTTTCCCATCTTAACCATGGCACTTGTGAAATTGGCAAAGAAAGCTGTTGCGTTGATTCTGTAACTATAAACTAAGGAATCTGTTGAGCCTTCATTGAATAGCTCCTGATCTGAGTGGAGAAGGCCCCTTTTTCCTCACCAAATCCTTTTAAGTTTTATCAAACACAATGACCCTTCCATCTAACGGAGATAGATTATCATCGTCCGATGCATCATCGGAGCAATTTTTCTTCAAAGATGCTGCATATGTGGAATCTATTTTGGGCTCGGTGTCAATTCGAGTGCAAAAGTTTTTACATTTTGCCTGCCCTATAGTATGTCTGCCTGCAATGAAAGAAACAGTGCGGCTATTTACTTTGTCATCAAATGTTAAAACCACTGATTTTAATTAAAATTTACCTGAGAGAGCCACCATATCTGTCGCATTTAAACCTTTTTTTGCGAAGGCAAGTATAAGTGTGTTCAGATCAGAGGTAGCACCAGCAAAATTTGCTGTGCGTGAATCTTTTCGGCCTAATTGCACAGTCCATGTAGACCACCGAACTGAGGAATACATATTGATAAGGATGATGAAATGATAAAATAAAAGAAGAACGACGTTAATGCGGCAAAGTTCGCCTAATATCTTAATCTAATTAAGAGTTTGCTTAGCATAACGCACACAAAATAGTTTTAAATTTTAAGTCACAATTTAAAATTTATATTTCATAAATAATCGAGGACAAAAAATTAACTAAAAATTTGTCTGGTAAAAAGAAACCCTAGCAATTCTTTTAAAGAATAGAGATGGCATATATAATTAGTTAAAAATATTTTCACTCAATTTTAAAAATATTTTTATTTAAGCTGATAATTTTTCCTTTAAAAAACGTATTTGTGTTAGTTAGAGGTGCATAAAAGGATAACTGATGGACATTTTGTCAATAGTCAGTAAAAACGTATAGATTTGAGCGTGATATATATCGCCACTATATCCCTACTCCATAACGTTGTGAATTGACAAAACTAATCTTACTTTTATTTTTCTTTAATTAAAGAGTTAAGATTTTGTACTATCAAGTATAAAAATGCTCCTAAGCCTAACATACGCGAATCAAAAAGTAAACCTTAAACTTCAAAAAATGCTATAGATCACACAATTTGATATAATGAAATATTACGAAAAAAAATCATTTGTACATTTTAGGTAAATTAAATTTTATATCTATCTAAAATTGATTGTTAAATTAGGTTGCCATTTTATATGTACTTTCCTATTTATGATATATTTAACAAATAAGTTAACAAAATAATTATCTAAAATCAAACTTATTAAAAGACATTGAATATATTACTAGCAACCTTAATTTATTTTTTGTTGTTATTATTATTATTATTATTATTATGATAAGGACAACTCTGATTTAACTGGGCCGAAAAGTTCATTGTGGAGTTAAGAATGCCTCTATGGGAAGCATTAATTAAGTTTCTTAAGCATTTGCGTTAGGGGAAGATTAAGATACAAATACGCCTTACATCAACAACAGAGTCACGAGCTGCGACTGCTAAAATGTCTGCACATGAGACAACTCTGTCCCACAAACTTTCTACTTCAGATTTTATGGTATCTATAACTTCAAATCCTCTCAATGACCCTTTATTTGGCGGTGCTAATTGCTCTGAGATTAATGTGTCGTTCAATAACACAGATGCATCACAACCCTACTCAATGCATAAAATTACGTGACGCTGTTAGAAAATATAAACAAAGTATAATGTATCGATTAAGTATAGAGAAGATAGATGTTAGTGTGGGGATTTAACTAAATGATTACATCAACAAAGCAATTGTGGAAATGAAGGCCAAGCAATGAGGCACCCATGCGAGGGTCTTAGACACTGTACGATTTATCAATTCCTGAATTTTGGTGATGGCACCGGGGTATCAATCTTCATAGAAGTCTGGAGACAGTGGAACGAGACCCACTCCAAATTGGAAGCAGAAAACAGAAAAAGAGGGGGCAAAGAAATCAGCCACAGCCATTGCTTTGATATAATTTGGTACAAACCATACGAGAACCCTGACCCTGTATATGTAATGCTAATTACTATATAAGTTACTGTTGATTTGTATATGTATACGTGCTTACGAATGGACTCCACGTTATTGAATAGACAGTTGGTCAACAATTTATTTTTGGTTTTTTCTAATCATACATGCAAGGTTGAACAATTTTTTTCTTCCTAGAATTTATATCGGGATAATTGCATTAGAAATATATGAATTTTGAGTCTTTTATCAATTGAGTATCTATAATTTTTTATTTATTTAGTATATCAATTTTTTAAAAATATTCAATCAAGTATTTCCATTCAAATTATCATGATCTGATGACTTGATAGTTAAATGAAAAGATGAAATTACGTTTTCGTACTTTTTTTTTCATTGTCATTGTCGTCGGTCTATAAGCAGTATGATTTTCTCCTTTCTTTTCCCCTTTCTTACCTTTCCCATTTCTCTGCAGCTTCATCTACTTCAGAATGGAGATATATGTTGTAGCCCTATCTCAACATCGTGGGGTCAAAGAAGTGACTGAATGGATGTCAAAGGTGCTCTCATGTTCCTGTACTTGGTTTGTTACAGATTTTAAGAGAACCTTCATTTTTGCAATCCTATTTACTTCATCAGTAGGTAGGAAAGAAAGTTTTCCTTATGATGAAGGAAACATGGGATTAGATTTGCCATTATAATATAATGATAGATGCTCTAGCTAGATTACTTTGAGCAATTAAAACTTTCTAATTTGTCCCCAAGTTTACTCCCATCGAATGATTTGGATTTGATTTTTTCCCATGTTGTATGTTCACATGAAATCTACTAGTGATTGTGAAAAAGTTGAACGAAAAATAACCTTCGCACTATTTCTGGCATCCAAAATCGCATTACAAATTATTTAGTTCTCATGGGTGAGATATTTTGACTTGAGAGAGACTTGATAGTTTCAGTCCAATATGAAATACAATCAATAAGGATTTTCTTATACCTGATCCTCCACTGAACTGCTAATCTCCACCTCTCTATGACCCTTTTAGTCTTGCCAGAAAACATCAGCTCATAACCATTTTTCCCTTTATGCAGATCACTGGTTTCCAAGAAAGCACAAACCTCACCACCAGATGTGCACAGCAGCTTCCTGAGCTCCATAGGGTTGTGAAAATTTTCGATTCATCTATGGTAGATAACAGTAAACTGTCTTCTTCAATTATTGTAGGCAAATTGCTCAAAATTACGGTGCAATTCTTTGACATCCATTTCAAGACACAGATTTCATTGTCTGTCGAAAGTTGAGAGCCAGAGTAAGCCAAGTGAATGATTTGGATTTGATTTTTTCCAGCCTAATTTTGCTTCAAAGAATGTGGCACATGATCTTTGCATGATTTCTCGCTTCTTTCTTTTCCAAGACAGGATTTAGTTGATAAAATATTCTTTCTTTCCCTTTCAGACAAGTGGTATCCCTGTTTCTGAAACTTGTGAGTACCAGTTTTCGCTGTACAATAACGATGCTACCCAGCATCTGTTTGAAGTATCTGCTGGTCTTGCCTCGCTTGTTCTCGGAGAAGGTCAGATTCTTGCACAGGTTAAACAAGTTGTCAAAGTTGGCCAAGGGGTTGTTGGCTTTGGGAGGAACCTTAGCGGGTCATTTAAGCATGCAATAACTGTTGGAAAACAGGTTAGAACTGAGACAAATATCGCTGCTGGGGCTGTTTCTGTGAGCTCAGCTTCTGTTGAATTAACTGTTTGGGTTTTTGAAGATGGAGAGAAATAGGAAAAGAAAGAAAAAGAAGAAAGGGAAGAAAGGGAAGAGGGGGAAAAGAAAGGGAAAAATCGTACTGCTTATAGACGATAATGACGATGAAGAAGAAAAAAAACGAAGCCAAAACATAATTTCATCTTTTCATTTAAGTGCCAAGTCAAGTCATCAAATTACGGTAATTTAAATAGAAATACTTGATTGAATATTTTTTTAAAAAATTAATATATTAAATAAAAAAATAAGTTATATGTACTCAATTGATAAAAAATTCAAAGTTTATATACTTCCAATGTAATTATTCCAATTTAGATCCATTTGTTTGAAAAAGCGGAAAATAATGAATTGCTTGTCTTGGCAATGGGCACCGGTTAGATATTTGCGGGACCTTTTTTGCATGCTTTTCATCCTTTTTCAATTTATGTTGACTTTTTATTTTTTAAAAATAAATAAATAAAAATATGAAAAATTAATGAAAAAAAGATGATATTCTTTTAAAATAAAATAATATTAAATTAAACTTAATCAACATTGTCAAAAAATTAAATAATTAATTTTTGAAACAAATTGATTTTTTTCGAAAAAAGTAAGAGACTAATTTATAATTTACTCCATGTATTATATATGTTTTATCCTAACTTGTTGGTCAATAAAATGCAACTCCGCAAAAGTGTAAATATGAGGTCTTTTTTTTTTTTCTAAGTGCAATTGTAATTCGTCTCGAGTTATCGAGAGTAGATTATAAATTAATTCTTTTTTAAAAAAATTAATCAATTAGTCTTTTAATGAATATTAATTATGATTAACTTAATATTATTTTATTTCAAAAAATAATTTTTTTTCTCTTGAACTTTTTCATATTTTTTACTTAATTTTTTTCTATTTATTAAATAAATAAATAACCAATAAAAAATATTAAGTTACAAATAGACTATAAAAAATAATTAATTAATTATTAAAATTAAAGGGACATTTTAATTTTTTTGAAAAACTAAAGAGACTAATTTATAATCTACTTCTGTCACAACGCATAAGAGTATTTTGATTCTTCAAAATAAACGTCAGACATCACTTCAGTAATCTTTTATATATGCGTAAGGTAGTTAGTCATTTTTTCCTACCAGCTACCGTGCATTTTTTGGTATCGTGTATGAGGAAAAAAATTTTAAAATCTTATTATTTGTGTTTGTTTATTTGTTTATTTTTTTTATTTTTTTATTTTTCCATAAACAAGATAAACTGGCTTTCAATTCGGGCCGAATTAAAAGGCCCAAAATCCACGCAGAACAATAAATATTTTATCATTGGTTGCTTTATACGGGCAAAGACCAGAATGATAATAGAGGTCAGAGATCCACATAGGATCGGATAAGGGCCTTGAGGCCTAAATACTACCCAATAAAATGTCACGTTACATCACACAGGAGGTTCTTGGTTAAAGGAAGTTAACTGTTAACCCATTAGTACATAACAACCTCCTTTAATTATGTTTATACTTAAACTTTGGTCCGAACTTGCAAACCCAACAGATTATAAAAATCACAAGGCCCAATGATTGATTCAGACACCAAAAAAATGGAAATGATTAAGCTATTCAAGTCCAAATATTGGGCTCATATCCAAGAGAGAAACCTCTGAAGCAATGAGAGAAATTAACATCTTCTGATTAAGCAATTCAGGCATCACAAACTCTTAAATCGCATGAAAAAAATGGATGAATACGAAAAATAGTACCCTTAATAAACAAGAGAAAGCAAACGAAAAAATAACAATAAATAGTGCTAATGAGACGCTATCATAAGGATTATAAAGAAATATAGAAACTTGTAAAGCAGTGTGAGAAAAAACAAGAAAACACGAGATAATACAAAAATTATAAAAGAACAAAAAACTTATAGATACAAGTTACATAAAAAGAAAAAAATATATATCAATATTAAATGTCAACAAACTCAAAAACACTTGTAATTTGCAAATAAATCTTAGAATATTCTTTTAAGTTTCGATTCACTTGATGTTTGTTAAATTCTACATCACATATAGTAATTTGCAGACAGTGATCAACTTAATAGATTTATTTTTTCAATTTCATTTTGTAACTATGATTTGTGATAGCAGTTGAAAAAAATTAAATTCTCTTTTCTTTTCTTTTTTTTTTTTTATCATAAACATGCTCAAAGAGTTTGTATTATAAGTTTAAAACCAGTATTGTCACATAAAATCAACCTTGCAATGCTGTAATTTGCAACACGGTCTGTTTAGGCAAATTGCAAATTTCTTTTGGAATTTGAAAATCACTGCAATTTATTTAATTTAGTTTTGTAATAAAGAAAACCATCAAAAATATTTTTAGAACTAGCAACAGAAAGTATAAAATAGCAAAACTAATTTGTATGGATTCGAATCTAAAAGTTAAGTTGTTTTGGAAATCATTATTCAACCACTTTTAATTCTTTTATTGCAAACCTCCTTAACAATCAAAACAGAGACAACAGAACCCATAAAACACAAACTTTAAAAGCTGAAAAAAAAAACGATTAATTAATCCTCTTTTGAAGTGGTGGAGTGTTGATCTAAATAAAGACAGGAAATTTTGTGAGGGCGCTAGGAGATTTTTGATTTATTTGGCCGACTATCACATAATTTTTATCATACCTATTGTATATATATATAATTCTATCAAACATTTTTTTACGCTTCAATCAGTCAACTATTTCTCTACTTTCAAGCACTTGATCCGTTAACATTTAATCTCTTTTTTTTCATATTAAACAAAACACAACCAAGATTCATAAGTATCTCGGTAAAACAGGCTCATTACATTCCCAATTTTAAGCTAATCTTTTATATATTATATAGCATGCGGTGTCACGTGAACCAGCATCCATCTTGTTTTCAAACGAAAATAAATTCATGATACGGTAATGCGCGCATGTATACTTGGAATCGTGATGCCCGCTAGATTCACTGTTCTTGAAAAAGTACTATCTTAAAAAATGAAACTACAATGTCTTGAGATTTTTATGTTTTTCTTTAGTAAATTCCATTAAATAGATAATTATATAATAAAAAATTAATTATATTTAAGATGTTAAAAAAATTAAAGAAAAAAACACATCACAGAAAATTAAAACTAGCCAAATAATCAACAAGGTCGAAGTAAGGAGGTTATACTTGGCCAATGAATCGCAAATATCTCATTTTGAAGGTTTTTTTTTAGACAATAAAATCAAATTTTCAGCCTCTAAAATCCCCAACGTTATATTGAGTTTTTCTTCGTCGAAAATAAAAACTTAAATTAATAGATAAAGTCATAAAATATAATTTATATTAATCTTTAATACATCTCCACGTTATCATTGTATTTAATACTTAAAAAATTAAATTCTAATATTATATTGAATGACGATCTCACCAAAATGGTTAAACTAATAGATGAGATCCTAAAATATAAATTTATATTAATCTCTAGCAAAAATCTCCACATTAACTTCCAAACTATCCACAAATTCTTAATTGAATTGTCAAAATAACAACTTACTCAATTAGACCCTGGTTATTAGAATATTCTATCAAGTTTCTATCTAATGAGGAATTTTGACAGTTTTGGAAAAAATCAAATATCTTCTTCGCTTAGCAGGCAGAGTCAAACAGCAATTAATGGGAGTACTAGATGCAAATGCACAACAACAAGAACAACGAGAAGTACACCTATCGAGTGGTGTATCTAGCATGATTAAGGAAACATGGCTGGAATCAAAGAAGATATGGCAAATCGCAGGTCTTTCAATCTTCAGCCACTTAGCCATGTTCTCTATGACTGTCATAACCCAATCATTCGCTGGCCACCTCGGTGACCTTAGTCTTACGTCGATCTCCATTGCCACCACTTTTATCATCTCCATCAGTTGTGGTTTCCTGGTAATCAAGATACTCCATCAATCTTGCTCATCACATTTGTATTAGTTACAACATTCATTTATTGATTGGGGCTGGGTTCTTTTCTTTGATGTCAGTTAGGCATGGCAAGTGCACTGGAAACATTATGTGGTCAAGCTTATGGGGTTAAACAGTACTAGATGTTGGGCATATACATGCAACGTTTTTGAATTGTTTTGTTTTCATGTTTCATTTTGTTACTACCTTTGTTTTTATTTGTAACTTCGATATTGAAGTTGATAGGACAACCTACAGACATAGCAGAACAAATAAGTTTGGTGGCAATATGGTTGATTCCATTTCACCTTAGTTTCCCATTTCAATTCACATTACGAAGGTTCTTGCAGAGCTAGTTAAAGACAGGGGCAATTGCTCTGATTTTCGGAGGCTCTCTTTTGATCCATTTGATTTTGAGTTGGGTTTTTGTTTACAAGTTGTGAGTTGGAATTGTTGAGACTGCACTTACTCTTGATTTCTCTTGATGGGTATCTGTTTTAGGGATGTTTATCTACTGTGTTTGTGGTGGGTGTCCACTTTTTTGGACTGGTTTCTTTGTACAAGCTTTTATGGGGCTTTGGGAATTCCTTAAACTCTCTGTGGCTTCTGGGATCATGCTTTTGTATGTGTTATCATATCTCTCTTGGTTGTTTATTGATTGAATTATAAATTTAATTGATAGTATAAACGATTGAAGTGGGTGTGCATTTTAATGTTTAAGGTTGGAGAACATCTATTACAGAGTGTTGATTATAAGTGTCTGGGTTTGTGTACAATGCTAAGGTTGCAGTTGATGCGCTATCCATTTGGTTGGTCAGTATTTTGAATCCTCGTAACCTCGTTTCTATTTTCTTTGAGTTTTTTCCCCCTTAGTTTTCAAAAGTCTGGTGTTGTTAGCTGAGAATTACATTGTTTAGCAGTGTAACGATACTTGGCTGGGAATCCATGATTCCACTTGGATTTTTGGCTACAACAGGGTATGTTACTGGTTATAAGTCTCCCTCCTTCCATATTTTTATCTATTTGAAATCAACAAAATTTACAGTCAATAAAGAAGAGAGAGAAATGAAACCTTCTTCTTAAGAACCATAAGCGGGGAAGGGAAATAAGAATTAACAAGTAAACTTTGAGGTCCAATTAGAAACATAGAGTAAATGATGCTACATACCAGGATTATCTTGTTATGCTTCACCATTGTCAGTCCTAGTAGGAATAAACTTCAAAAATTAGAATCAGTTTTTTAAATAGGCATGGCACGTTAAACTAGTTCTAGCACATTGTTTGCTACTAATCTAAGAATCTTAATAACTCATCATAAACTCGTTCTTCATAAATGAGAGAAATTTTGTTTTGGGTAGAATTTCATAACAGTCTTCTCATGAGTGAATGCTGTATATTTCTTGCAATAATATAGTTTAGGAGCTGGGACCATAAATGTAGGCCAAAACATTTCCTAGTTGCCATTGACTCTTATCATATGCTTTTAGTTATATTCCTTTAAGGAGCATGCCTACTGATCAAAATGTCTAGGTTTGTTTTATGAGAATTCTGATTAGCAGCCCATTGGATCGAGGAAATGGATCCACTTCACTACATTTGTAAGTGAATAGCCATGCATCTACTATTTGACCCTTACATTATTAAGTACATTTGATATGAATGGTTGTTCTTTTTTCACGTTCTCATTAATTCTCTTGATTTTGATAGTTAACTTCTATTGTGATATGGCAATATCTGTGAATAATGTGTGGACTATCTTCATACAGAAAAAGAAAATTGTCACTTTATTCAGTATGACTATGAGAAAACAATTATGATGTAGAGAAACCTTCTGTAAATACATTATGATCAGTTACTTGTGTTAGACATAGTAAAGTTCAACTTCACTGAAATCAGTCTTTCAATATGTTTCTTTGAAACTCACAAATTTGTGTTTGGAAACAAAATCTTGTCATGCCTGGAATGCTTTTATTTGCAGACCTTTTAGATGTTTTTACTCAAAATACATCAGCTTAGAAAGTTTAGTTGCAGCAATCTTATACTTTTAATTCTGGTTACATCAATCTAAGGCTGGCTGGATTTTGAATTTCTGTTACGGATGAGAATTAATTTATTAGTATGTCAAGTAGTTTAAGGTTCAAATCAATAGTTTGTGTTGATAAACATAGCAACAAACGGTGATTTATTAGGCTTGCATGGTATTCTAATCATGTTTCCTCCATCCCAACTTATTCCTATACCCTTATACGAGCATGACAGTAATTAAGGAAGAAAACCAGGTTTTTTCCTTTTCTAGGATTATGGAGATTCATCTTTTCCCCTGCCTTTGCTAATTGTGTTAAACTTTCTTCGTACAGGGTATGTGTGGCTAATGAACTAGGTGCAGGCAATGCAAAAGGTGCCAAATTTGCAACCATTGTATCCTTGTTGATCTCTCTAGTGGTTGGACTATTGTTTTAGTTAATTATCATAGCCTTCCTTGAGAAGCTTGCGATGATTTTCACCTCTAGCTCCTCTGTTATTTTAATGGTTAATGAGTTAGCAGTCTTGCTGGCATTCACTATTCTGCTCAATTGCATACAGCCGAGTTCTTTCAGGTCAGAAAAATGTTTTAAATCTGATATTTATAATTGAAAGACAGAAGGTCTTTAGATTTGATATGGTTGTGATGGCCATGTATTGTTTTCTAGGTGTGGCAATTGGATTTGGTTGGCAAGCATTAGTAGCTTGTATAAACATAGGTAGCTACTACATAGTCGGAGTGCCTCTTAGGGTCTTCTTGGGTTGGTTGCTCCACATAGGTATTCAAGTAAGTGGAATTACATTGTTACTAATACCAGCATATTCATGATTCACGTGGAATGGAAGCTGAAAATTTGAATCCTTAAACAGTAATGTTGTGATTGTTTTAAGAAGTATATTTACCAAGCACAACATTACTGTTTGAGAATTCAGATTTTCAGCTTCCATTCCACGTGAATCATGAATATGCTCGTATTAGTAACATTGAGATCTTTTGAACTATTTCATCTTTCTTTTCTGTAAAACAAATTCCTCGTGTATAAATTAAATGTGTAATTGGACAGGGTATATGGGCTGGAATGATTAGCGAAACTGTGGTTCAAACATTGGTACTCGTAGTCGTTGCCGTGAAATGTGAATAGGAAAATGAGGTAATCCTATAGGAATACTTCTTCCATACATTTGTTTAATTTTCCATTGGTCAAAGCGGTTTGATAACAATACACGATATGGTTTACAGGCAAAGAAAGCTAAAATCCACATAACTAAAGAAGCAGCCTCAACCTAATGAAATACTGATTGGAAATTCCTATTGGCTCGTGGCTATGAAGACTGAAAAACCATTGCCTGGTTCAATGATAGGAGTCTCGGCAATTATGCCTCCAACTATAAGGTTATATAAGTTTGAGGTTTAAGAACAAGAGAAGCCACTTCAAAGCAAAAATCGATAAAAAGAAATCGTTCAAGGATTGGTCTATTTGTCTCCGTCTCCCGAGACACCACTTGGTGGGATGGGAAGGGACCATGTCCATAAATGAGCAAAAATGTTTTTATTGATTTTGCTGCCATACGAGTGTCCAACAATGTCTGTAATGTGAATGCAAAAACAAATGGTTCCATGCTTAAAAAAGAATTATTTGTCCTTCTCTCCTAGAGAAAGATGATGTGAATGCAAAACGAAATGGTTATTCTTCCGCAACTGAATTTGCGTTTGTTAATTGGCCTTTTTCTTTTGAACATAATTGATTTAACCTAGTGTTTCTAGGACTAGGAACATTCTGATCCCCATCCCCTTGATTATTGCCTTGCTTTTTTGTGGGATGCATTCTAGATGAATGACCTGTCGTGCTCTTAGCAACGGCCTCCGAGGATGAATGATTTGTAGTTTGGGGACGTGAATTTGAATCAAAATACAAGCAGCCACCAACCTTTCATCGAATCAGCTATAAAAGCCTAACGTAGCTAAGTTCCTTTTTTTAACCCGCTGAGATACAATAAGAATCCATTGCATTACAGATCTTACTACGTTAGAAGAGCAAAAAAATCTTCACTGAATCTTTTATAGACAACATCATTATTATGTTTGTCGTTTTTTTTTCAAAGAAAAATCAGTAGGCAAAAAATCATTAAATCGTTATAGTGTCCTATGGATTGAGAAAAACTGAAAAAGAAAAATGTAGATGCTTATCTTGCAGAAAAGGTAGAGAATATTCAAATCATTTCATCCAAAAACACTGAATATATACTAGGAAGGGCATAGGAATCGATGTAAACGACTAGTGGCGTCTCTTGCTTGAATGCTCTGTCACACGTGATCATGTCTCTTACTTGAATAATAAAACTGCAGTAAAAAGGCTGTCTACTTTTGTGGTTATTTTGGTAAGAAGATACCTTACAGATTACAGCCTAGAAGGAAAACATCAAATCTAGTGTGTGAATCCACCAAATACTGCACTTCACGACACAATAATTCTCTGGTAAGTTTTGATTTACCTTCTAAAGTTTATAAGGTGTTTCATTGTCACCTAGAAAATTTGGTTCTGTATCAATTAGCTCCTCAACTTGTATTGCACTTTCAATTCCTTTCATTTCGTTTATTTTCTGCATAGAGCTAATGAATTTGAAGATTTCATGTTTGTTTTTTTATCTCTTAATCGACTTTTGAAAATTTAAAAAATACGTGAATCAAACACCCATCCTTCAATCATATTAAAATTCTTAAAAAATATCTCATCAAAAAAGGCTTTATTGACATTTATTCTATTGAATGTATTCCATATACAATCCAAAACTTAACTTAGCACCAACAAGTAATGTAATTGTCGTATAGTTAGAGTTATTAAATTTATACAACTAATGCATTTTATTTATTTATTTATTCAAAGAATGGGAATTTGAAGAGATGGTACGTGTAACACTCTGTAACTTAAGTTATAATTTCATTAAAATATGTCAACATATTTTCTTATGTGTTGTATTGAAGATTTATTATGCATTTTTACCAAAATTTCTTTTAGATTGTAGTTTAGCTTATGAACTTAAGAAATGTAATGTCAAAAAAAGAAATTATAATTATAATTACAAGACAAAATCGTAAAGAAAAATTAATGTGAACATCATAGAAAAAGTATTTAATAGATTAAATATTAGAAAATTTGATTTTTGGCATGATGGTTTTGCTAATTTTTCAAATAGACACGGTGTAAAGTAAATGTCAATAAAACTTTTTAGATTTTTATATATTTTAATATGATTAAACAATGGATACTTGAAGGAGATTGTTTACTTTCGTGCATCCCATTTTTTAATACTATTGCCAAATGCTATCTTAATTTCAAATAAAAAGGTGGATTAGATCCGCTTTAAAATACGGATGTCAGGTGACCAGTTGTGTAATTAGTGGGACCATGTGTAAGAAAATTTTTTCTCCGTTTTGGACTTGGAGAAGCAATGATTAAATCGCCGCGGTTAGTTAAACAAAAATTTGGCCGAATCCGAAAGTAAAACGGGGCACGTTTCTCTGATGGTCCAATTAAGTTTGCATTTGACTCCGTCAATCAACGACACTTCATAAATTTGGATTGCTTGCTAATTAACGTTGGATTTTTTTTTGGAGACTTTGAATCAATATATTGAAATGAATTTACTAAATTTAGAAGAATGGGAAAGTTCGTCTGTGATTATCAAAAATTCGGTTTATTATATGTAAAGAAGTATGAACTCGGAAGGATTTTCGGCATAGGAACCTTATAAAGACAAAAACATGAAAAAATATATTTCTAGTTGAATGGGAGGGATTTTCTAGATAATGTGAACATGGTAAAGGAGACAAAATCGAACAACTTCAACTTCAACTTCATGTGGCGTGGGGCTCTTCACTTTCTTGACAAGGGAGTGGCAAATTGGGATTCTTGAAAGTGTTCTTAACGAGAGAGTAGCAAACGGAATGTCTGTCGCACGAGATCTGATGGTCCTCCTTTTGTGGACCTCTCGATGGATGGAGCACGTGATTCAACTGATCAGTTAAAATTAGCAGTAATAATTCGCTTTCTCAATTATGCAAAGTAGGTTTCTATTGCTTTTCCCGAAAAAAAAAAAAAAAAAAAAGGAAGTCAGACACATGGAGAGTGTTTATTATAAATTATTGTTATTTTAAGAATAGACAGGAACGACTTTCCTTAAAAGACATTTAAGTAGCTGATGATATGCATGTTTATATTTATGTTTTATTTCATCACACAAAAAGTAGGATTTATTTTTCAAGTCGGGTTTAAACATAAGACTATTTAGTCAAATTATTATATCCTAAAAAGAGCATACAGCGAAAGTTTATCATGCCAAATGGTTGTCTCGTTGACAACAAAAGGCTCGATTTCTATAAAGGTCATGTGGCTAGATGGTGCTATTTGCTCGAAAATGTTTTTAATCATAGCACTCGCACTTTCATCTTAGAAATTTCACCATCGGATGCCCTTTACAGAAGCGGAAAGGAGAAGAAACGTGAAAGAAAAAGAACAATTAAATTAAACTAAAATTGTGAATCCATCTGGATAATCGTTTGCGGGTCCTTGAACGCATTAACTTGGTAAGTCACTATGTCGTGAAACTTCGATTTCATCATTTTATTCCACCGCTCCGCCATGAATGAGTGTCAGATCAAAGAAGTTCCTACTCCGATTCTTCCATTTGCTCCCTTTATATTATTTTAGTGGTTGGGAATCCTTTTGGATTCTTCCCGTCATTAAGGTTTAATCTTTTCAATTTTGATTTATAGCCACAATTATCTCGGCTCATTTTCTTATTTTATTTGTATGTCTGCTCTTGTATTAATAGTTAATTTATTAAAATCTTGTGTTTGTAAAATATTAAAATTAGCTGAATTGAAGCTGATAGTTAACTGCCATACAATTATGCCATTAATCAGAAACGACAGACAAATAACTTTCATATAATATGAAAACTGGGATAGAGTGATGGTCACGTGCACTGAGTTGTACATTTCACATGTTCATAAAAGCAAAAATATTCATTTAATATTATATGAATTTGAGTTGTATAATGATTCAGTCAAAATTTTATAAAAAAATTATTTAAATTTAAAAAATCAAAGTTTAAATTTTAAGCTAAAGAGAAAGGGATTAACTTTTTTGGACTATAAAAATATTTTTAGACTAATTTATACGTCAATTAAGATTAAGATATTTATTGAATAATCGTAAAACATATCTTTTATATCCACATGATGTATTGAGAAAAATTTTTTATAAATTTTATTAGATATTGACCTTAAGGTTTGTATCTAAAAAGTATCAAAAAATTAAACAAATCTTTTTAACCACCTAGTAAACTCCTAAAACTAATTGGTAGTTAAGACTAAACCTAGTTAAACATCAACACATGCGAGCAACTTAAGACTCAAGTGATGATGTTTTTCCTATTAGTCGAGTACAAGTCATGTAACATCATTCATTTGGCATGTGGATTTTATTTTGCTAATAGATAAAAACTATTTTTCCATATTATATCCAATTAACGGAGCAATTAGATAATATATAACTATTAACCCAATTAAGTCTATAAAATGCATTTATCTGTATCTTACAAATAACCAAAAGGAATATTCTACCAAAACAAAATCATGATGTTCACCCTGAAATATTATTAATAAGTTGTTAAAAAAATAGTTTTTATTTTTTTTGGGTACAAACCAAGAAAAACTAGCTCCGTGATCTCAGAAAAATAAAAAACTAGCTATGGAGATACGTTATCCCCGTCTTGTCAGCTTGCAAGATAGTACACACATAAACACACACGCACTGATGGACTGTCTCCGGAAATGCTTTCGTAATTTGCACCTTTCTCCCCTCCCTAGAAGCGACACAAATTTAACCGCAAATCATAGGAAAGTCTCGTTTCTATATCTTTATCTTTATTTGTGTACACCTTAATTTTTTTTCTTTTTTCTTTTTTGTCATTCTTTTCAAAAATGAGTATGTCAATCTTTTCGTGATTTTAATTTTATTTATTTCAGAATGTCAATCTTTTCAAAACAATTAATCAAGTACACTCATTAATTTTTTTATTAATTAATTAATTAATTAATTATAATTATCGAATATCAAATTATAATTTTACTATATTTTTATCAGTTTAGTATATGGATTTTAATTTTATTTGTTTGAGTTCATTAATTATTCTTTTGGAAAGGCATTTCAACTTAAAATTTTTCAAGAGATAATTACACTATAAATATATTAACTTTTATTTTTTTCAATCAAGTATATGGAT